ATTGTTTATTGCGGCCCTCCAAGCTATGGGTCAGTATCCTATCTAGGGTGGCATTGCCTACAAATTCTACAGAGTCTTCTTTTGAAAAGTTGGCAATCAATGATGTGATGAAGGCATGAGTTTCTAGAAAAAAGAAAAATGAGAGATCAAGCAAGCTGAGACAACAGTTTAAGTTCCTTCTCCCCAGGCCTAATAGTCCACTGCTTCTGGCTAAATAGGTGAGGGATGCCAGGAGTTTACTCAATCCTCCCCTTTAATCCCCTATAAAAAGGAAAGGAAAGCAGCATGGCCGTTCTTTTTATCTCACTCTTTTTCTCCCCCTTTGTTCAAAGGCGCAGTCTTAGCTGAAAAAAGCCAAAAGGTTGGTTCAGGAAGCATTGCGCATTCAGGAAGGAGGGGTTCCCTGCCTGATTTCCCCTTTGAGAGGATACTTTTCATAGCACTGACTGTGGCACTGATTGGATGATTGCCCAGCCACTACATGATCTGGCACCACTCTTTCCGGTGGCCTCAACATTCTTGTTCTGGTGCAAGAAATGTTGCTAAGAGGGAGAGTAATCTGTTACTTCTGAAGTGATCCACTGCCACTAGCGTCAGTTATGACCACAGTCATTTCCCTTTTCTCCTGTCAAGCTTCCTACTTGTCCTTATTTTTAATTTATTTATATATGACTATATGACCCATGGGTGGGCTACTTTTTCATGGCTGAAGCTAGGCTTAATATTTTGGGGGAACAATATAGTGAGCAATGTAATGATGCAATTGTGTCAAGACAGTTTTTCTCCTTGATTTTGGGATTGGTTTCTTGATTTAAAAAACAAGGTGAAGTCTATTTACACTATCATTTTTATTTATTCTATGCCGCAAAACAATGCGAAATTGTGGGTGAAGATGGGAAAGAGGAAGCAATTGGCTGAGCATATACCTGGAGAGGAGAAAAACTGCTTTTGCAAAGCACATTGCTATTAATAAAACAGGAGATACATTCAATATTAAGTCATCACACAAAACTACAGGATATGGGTGTGTTTGGAATGCATGGATGTACATGAGGCATGTGCCTATACATGAGAAGAAATTGCAAGTATAAATAAGCTCCCTGAAGTTCTTCAGGCTCCATTAAAACTGGATACTAGCCTTATCTCATGGAATCTTCCCTTATTTTAAAACACTTACTCTACAGAACGTGATGACTATTGCACAATATCCCGCCTCTGGAGTATCTTTTTGGTAAATCATTTGCACAAATTTGTCCTGATTAGGTCAAAAGGAATGGTCCTAAATTTATCTTATGCATAAGGTTGAAAATTATTACTAGATATGTTCCCAGTTTAACAGTTCTGCATCTAACACTGCCATTCTTGGAAGGTAATAGGATTTTATATCCGAATAGACATTTACATGATTGTAATATGGTTGTTTCAGTCTAACGCTATTTCCAAATCATAGCTGGGAGTTCAAAACAGATTTTTTGTAAATTTCAGAATTCCATTAAAATATGTTTTACTGACTTGGGTGCAGCATGAAACAAATACACAGGTAGATAAAGTTTTGAAACAATCATTCTGTTTCTGCCCAAATGTACTTAGAAGTCACTTTCACTGTTTTCGGTGAGACATATTCCCCAAGGAATGACATTTAGGATTACTGAATTAGTAAAAATATTTTTTAGAAACTCAAAATAAGTAAAAGTATATTCGTTTTCAACCTAAATGATAGTAGGATTGGCTCCAGGAAAATCATTTTAAGGAGGATGTTCTGGAACTTGGTGCTATGTTTACATGATCCACCAACAGTATATGAATTAAATCTATAAAAATAAGCAGGATGACAAAGAAGGAGAAAGATCCATGGGATAAACATGTCAGTCTTTTACAGCAAAAATGACAGTGTTAAAGACTAACACATTTATTCCATTAAGTTTTCATAGGTCATATTTATAGAGTGGTTAGCCAGCTTTATATTCACCCTTCCTGCTCCTACTCAAAAAACCTGATCAAACTACATGGAATATTCACTACTCCCAGTTTTAAATCAAGCCAGCATGATTTTCCAAACTTACCTACACCATATGCCCAGTGATAGAGAGCCCAAGACTGGAGGAGAATTTGCAGGAGGAACATTCCCAATCAGGAACCACTTATTTGCAAAGCCAGGAACACTTCGACGCTGTTAGTGCAGTAAGGTCTGTGGAAAGGAAACCTCCAACTCTTTTATACCTCAAGGCAATGTGCTGAATTCCCTGGAGAATACAGACATCATCAGGGATCAGGAACTTTAATTTGCCCAGACTGGGCTGGCAGAGCCAGGACATGGTTGGCTGGGAATAGGCGGGTGGGGCATGTTTTCATCTTCCTATTTCCTCATCTGCAGCAAAGGAACTGACTTTTTCCTTGCCTGATCTCAGCCCCCCCCCCCCCCGCCTCCTGCTTCTCCCACAGCTGTGCAGGCTGTAGCTGGAAAATGGTTTTAAAATGCCAAGCATGACTCTGTTTTTGCCAACTACATTATTTGAAATAGGGAACTGAGAGACAAAGAAAGCAAAACATGAGAAAAAGATCCAAACAAAATACCGTGGAGTCCTTGGGGTTCTCTGAGCTTGGTTCTTTTTTTGCAAATGTTTCATTGCCCGGCTAGGTAACATCTTCAGCGCTGGAATGGGATGGGGTTTGCTCTCTATTTATATACTGTGGCCTGCCCTGCCAATGCTGGTGGGGGTGGGGGTTTGTTTGCTCCTCTGGTGGTTCCTTGATTAGCATAGTTTACTGCTTGATTAGCAGTAAATATATGCTAGTCAAGAAACTACCAGAGGAGCAAAACAAAACCCCCACCCCCACTGGCAAGGCAGGCCACAGTTTATTAAATAGAGCAAACCCCATCCCATTCCAGCGCTGAAGATGTTACCTAGCCGGGCAATGAAACATTTGCAAAAAAAGAACCAAGCTCAGAGAACCCCAAGGACTCCACAGTTCAACCCCGAGCTACACATATTCATCTCTATTGAAACAAAATACCAGCAAAAATAATATTTGTAAAGGACAGAGAGAGTGCTTCTGCAGACGGTATAACCTGGATCATAGTGCCATTCGAAATGTTGAGTTTTGAGGTTAAGATATATATTTCATTGCACACTAGCCAAAAAGAGATATTCCAAGATTGCAATATTGGTTTTGTTTCCTTTATGTGCAAGAACATTGGAGAGACATATAGGACGTCTTGTGTCCAATATATAATTGGAGACAAGATGCACCACAGGCAACAAATCCAATACTGTAACAAAGACAATTCCTACATCTGTTCATTTCTGCCTTTATACATATTGTGTCAAAACATAGTTTGCCTAACCAGGTAGGCTGAGGCTGCTATTGTACGCATATTCTATAAAGACATCCAGTATGAAACAGTGGTTAAGGTCCTGGATTGGAGTGAAGGAGACCCATGTTTAAGATCCACTAAGCTATAAAGTACATGACAAACAAACCACAGTACAGGTTATCATGAAATGTGAATTCAGCCAAAAGGACGCTGTATGGCTTGGTTTTGTGAGTGGGTTTGGTTAAGATTGCAACTGACCCAAAGTCACCCAATAAGCTTCCATGGCTAACTGTGGTCTAAAACATGGGAGTCCCCAGTTCTAATCTAATATCCTAAGCATTATCTTATCCTGATTCTCTTTATATAATATTAATAGAAGAGCAGCCTCAGGCAATATAATGTTGCCACTGGCTATATATACTTAAGTGTGAAACAGAATTATTACTACAATGCCAAGAGTTACTAAATGCACTTGAATGCTATAGCTCACTCATGGGACTATTTGCAAGCAGCAGGAATGCTCCATTTTTCCCTTTCTCTCACTTCTTTGCAGAAAACTGAACTGTGGCCTCAAAAGGCCTGCTGGTAGGAATGCACTGTTGGAAATTGGAATGTACATTGCATCAAATCTCAAAACCACGACACTGTAATTATGGGCAGAAGAAAAACAGATCATGTTACATTTCACAAAAGTTAGACGTGCTTTGAATTTTAAGTTGCGTAGATGAAACTGCAAACAATCTCATATTCATATCATGCCTATGTAGCCTACTTCTGATTGGCAAGAAGTTTCAGGACTTCATTCCTGCATTTATCCAATGTTCAGTTTCAAGGGAAAAAGGAAAGAAACAGCATATTTCTGGGAGGGAGAGAGAAGCTGAGAACTCAGAACATAATCCTGTTCCCATCCAAGTTTCTAGGAGAATCCATGGTGCCACAGAATTCCCTGCAAAGAGCAGTATCAACTCTGAGCCTCCTCTTCAAGCCCAAATTTAGTCCAGAGTCAGGGACTGTATAAAACTGTGTTTTGTTTCAAACATGAGACAAACACATTGCATTCCAGAAGTTCTGCTGAACTATTCTGGATGGGTCATGGTTTGGCAGAAATAAAATCCAGAATGTTTTTGTTGTGCCTGATTTCAGCCAAAACAAAACCCTCAGAGATCCATTTTACATGGAAAAGGACAAGGCTGGTGCGTGTCTCTGGATTCTTCCCTTCTTTCCTCTGCAGCTTCCAATGCAGCCGTTCAGCCAGCCCACCCATCCTGCTGACCTTCTTAGCATTTGTCCTCTTTCTCTCCTCTGCAACCCTCAGTCAGGCTGTTGCCAACATCCCAGCACAGCATATCCCACCAGGCCCCCCAGCTCCAATCTTCCAGTCCCTTCTCTTGCTTTCCTTTCCCTTCCTCTCCTCACCTGATGATGATTATAATGTTCCTAGCTTTTCCCCATACTTATCCCCACCAAAACACTTCTTCCCAGAACAACCACATTTCAGTCTGTATCTGGATGAAAAAAAAAAAAAAAGACCAATTGGGTTCTGTATCCAAACACATATTTAGGTTGGACATGAGCCACCCAAAACTTGCTGTTCAAGTACAAACTGTTTTGCATATCCCTAGCCCTGACTGATTTCTTGCTTACTTGTATACACGTGTACTTGACTATTCATGAGATAGAAAGATGGATTATCTCACCTATCATTATATTCAGGGTGGGGGATTCATCCTATGAAATGCACATGTCCAGAATATTACCTTTCAGATGTCTTTTCTCAGTGCCTGTGTTCGCATTATTTTAGCCTAACATGTTGTATGAATCAACTGTGAATCCAGTCTCATAAACCTAGAAATCTCACTTACATCAATAATAGTTAAGTTAACCATGCACGTTCCTCTGAGTATAGCCTGTAAACACTGTTACCTTACATCACCCATATTGATAGTTCAAGAGTCAAAGTTACAGATTTGATTGGATTTAGTGGAATCATCTTGACCGCTCCCAAAACTATAATATTATGTTTTTGGTAACTGAGATTATTGAGTAAGTATAGGTCAAATAGGGGAGTCCCAGAGGATAATGAAATGACAAAGAGCTGATGCAGTCATCATGATCTCTGTTCACTATAGCTAAGCTGTCAAAGAAAGATTATATAAAGAATTAGCTGAGCGTACAACATTTTATACTCTTTTAAAAAACTTGTTTAATCCATTTTTTTATTCTTAACGAAGTTGCTTGCTATTGCTTTGAATTAGATATGGGTGAATGGAGAAAGCTGAACAACTGGGGCCAGCCAAGTAATTATGAGTCAAGGTTCATGTAAATGGCAAGAACCGAAGAAACAAAAGGCCAGCAGAATCAAATGTGAGTGATAGTAACAAAATCAACAATCTTCTTGAGCCTTCACCCATAGGTGGGGAGTGATTTATATGCCAGTTGAATACAGTCATTATCCATTACTGTTAGCTGCTACTGATCTATTTATATGAATATTTTTTCAGTCCTTTTTACAACAGCATCACTTTCCTCCATTCCTTCCCTATGCTCTTTTATACAATTATTATGTATGAAAAACACTTCTACCAGCAAGCCTTAGAAAAAGTGCCGCAAAGATACCGACTGCCCTACCGGCTTTCTTAGTAGGATCATGATAATTGAAGATTTGGTATGAAGCCAGATGAAGCCTTTGGTATAAAGACTGAATCATCTGCTCCCTGGGTATATAAGGATCACTGTCCTTGAGATTGGCCACCCAGTAACAGCAGCAGCAGCAGCAGCATCTGAAGAGGGAAGTTGTCAAAACAGGCAAGATAATGGATCAATGTCCATGCATTGATGTCACTTGCATATACAAAGAGAAGGAGGTTAAATAATCCTGCTGCAGTCATTAACTTATCTATGTTTATTGTCCTAAGTTGCTTTTGCTACCAGGTTGTCTTCATGTGCAAATATTTGGAAGAGATAAGACTCTAACAGGGAAGGAACTGCCACATATTACTGATCTTATTTAATTATGGACAAGACAGGTCAGGAAGAGAGGGGGAGTGGGTCATGGGTTTTGAGGTAATAATTGGCAGGGAGATGTGTGATGAGAAACTGCATTCTAGCTATTACAAGGAGTGGAGGGAAGACCAGTGGCTGATCTCCCTTTCTTTTAAACTACAGTCTTATTAAGGAAGGCTATGTGACAGTGATGGCAGACCCTCCAATCTAAAGGTCCAGCTTCTTTAATGCCAAGTCAGTTCCCGGCAAAGCATCTATCCAGGATTTAATCCTGGACAAAACACTGACTTGGCATTTATTACAGAGACCTGGCTAAGTATAGAGGGGGAATTAATCTCTCCCAACTCTGTTGGATGGATTACTATGTGGTGTGGCAGGCTAGGGTGGGAGGGTGGTGAGGTATGTGGCCGCTGCCTAAGGGACATATGGACTTAAGAAGTAAGACAGCTGCCATGACGTTACTATGCTTGATCCTGGTAGTTAGCAGATGTGAGTTGCTTGTGAGAAAAGTAAGTTGAGAAGGTCAGGAATACAGTTAGGAAGGATGTGAAAGGATGTTCTGGGCAAGATGTGACAAAAGGGGGCCATAATTCAGGGAAGATAATAAGAAAAAAAACAAGGGGCTATGATAAGGAGAATTTGAGGAATGAACTTTATATTGTCAGGGATTGCTAGAAGTCTGAAATCAGCATAAGTAAAATCAGCTTCTGATAGTTTGATTTTGTTCACTGTACTACATATATACAATGTATCTTTACTTACTGCTAGCTCTGAGTCCAGTAGTTTGTATGAGCAGTTAAGATATTTGGCACCAATGTTCATCATTTTATAGTTGCTCACACTGAATGACCATTTTTGATGCCCACTTCCCTTATGGGCAGAGATCTTTGACCTTTGGAGCTCTTTGCAGACCCTTATCATTTTTACCACTCAATTGTAACAATTTAGCAAACGTGGCTATTCCACTAGCCATACCTGATTCCAGATCATTTATAAATATGTTAAAAAGCACCAGTCCCAGTACAGAACCCAGAGGACCCCACTAGTTACAGCCCTCCATTGTGAGAAATGTCAGTTTACTCCAACTCTTTGTTTTCTATTCTTTAGCCAATTGCTTATCCATAAGAGAACCTGCCCTTTTATTTCATGGCTTTTAAGCTTACTGAGAAGTTTTTGATGAGGGACTTTGATGAGGGCTTCTTGAACACTTAAGTAGATTATGGCTTGTCCTTATTCACATGTTTATTAACACCCTTCAAAAACTCCAGTAGATTAGTTAGACAGACCTTCCCTTAGGGAAGCCATGTTGAGTATCTTCCAAATGTTTGGTAATTTTATCTTTAATAGCAGTTTCCACTATTTTCCCCCCAACAGGCCTATAATTACCTGGATCTCCCTGCAAACCCTTTTTAAAAATTGGAGTTATGTTGGCCACCTTCCAGTTCTCAGCTACAGAGGCTGAGTGTAGACACAGGTTGTGTACTGTAGTTAGGAGGTCCACAACCTCAGCTTTAACCTCCTTAATAACCTTTGGGTGTATGCCATTAGGGCCTGATTTGTTGATTTACAATTTATCAGTCAGGCCTACCATTTCTTCTCTTATCACCACTATTTGGCTCAGTTCATCTGATTCCCTTCCTGAGAACAGGAGCTCAGGCTCAGATATCTACCCAAATTTTTCTCCTGTGAAGATGGAGACAAAGAATTTGTTCCGCTTCTCTGCAGTTTTTTTCTTCTCTTAGACCACCTTTGATGCCTTCATCCAAGAGGCCAATGGCTTCCCTGGCTGGCTTCCTGCTTCTAATATATTTGAAGAATCTTTTATCTGTCTTCACCATTTTGGCAATATGCTTCTCAGATTTTCTTTTTGTCTCCCTATCTCTTTGCATTTCTTTTGCCAGAGTTTATGCTGCTTTTTGTTTTCATTAAGACAGATCTTTCACTTTCTAAATATTCTTTCTTGGCCACTTTGGGGCCACTTTCCTAATTTTAGGAATATATTGGGACTGAGCCTCTATTATTGTGGTTTTAAACAACAGCCAAACTTTCTGGAGTGAGTTTGCTCTTTTGAGTTTCCTTTTCACTAGTCTTTTCAATTTTGAGAAGTCCCCTTTCTTGTAATCAAATATAACTGTGATGGACTTGCTATGTAGGTTATCTCTTCTTTAGAAGTTGAATTTTCGTGCATTATGGTCACTATTCCTAATCAGTTCAACTGCATGTATTTCTCTCATCAAATCCTGGATACTACCCAAGAGCAAGTCTAGTATTGAAGAACCAGTCAACCCTTGATCAGATACTGGGGCAATGAACAGCAAGCAGTGAATTCACAGACTCCGTGCATGTGATGTGAGTGGATGATGGGCTAGGAAAAAATGTATACGGCAAGGTTAAAGAAAGAAGTGGAAAGCAACGGTTAAGGTGGGTGGACAACAGCAGGCATTATAGGGCCCTCCTTGGAAGAAGCAGAGATTCCAAGTCTGTCCATCGCACCTAAATTATGTCAGTTAGGGAGCATATCCCAGTAGAAAAGTGCAGATCACTACAATTAACCAATTCCACCAGTTGGAGCTCAGGGTGAAGCAACACCTGCTGCCAAGAAATCGACAAAAAGGGTGACGTTGCTTTCACAGCGCCTGCGCTGGCCAGGTAGCCCCTCCCCCAGGACTGAGCCGTCGGCCAAGAGCAGCCGAGAGGCGGGGCTTCCAGAAGCCGGGGTCCCGGTAGCGCTGCTGTTGCACGTAATTTTCTTTAGATTTTTGCACCCCGGATACGGCTGGGGAAATGGCGGGAACCGATCTAAGCTCGACGGGGCTGGACCTAGAGAAGCTACGCATGGCGGGCGCCGGTCTGGCGTTGGCTGTGCTCACCAGCGGCGGCGACGCGCAAGGTCAGTGAAAAAGAGGACCAGCCCCCTGCTTCCCTTCAGTCGAGCGGGCTCAGAGACGCCGGGTGGGGGTGTGCGATGTCACGCGCTGCCAGCTGGAATGTGCAAATGAGCACGGCTAAGAACTGAGCGGGAGCGCGACTGCCCGCTAGGCTTGAGCAGTGGAACCCCTGCGCTACGGAGGTGAAGCATCTTTGTAATCGATATCAGAGACCCCGATCGAAAACCCTAAGCAAGCCCGCCCTCGAGGGCCCGTTCCAGAAACCGGCCTTCGTCGGGGAGCTCCTGCTCCGCCTCCCTTCCAAAGTCTGGTTTTATGAGGTGCCGCAAAAGGGCGCCTCGGGGGTTGGCGGAGGGCGCCGCTCTCTGTCGCGTCTGCCCTCATCGTGCGTGGGGCGGAGGTTAGCGGTGCATTATTCAGACCTGACGGACTTAGACATTTCCCTTTGGAACAGACTGTGACAACGGTATCCTCGAGTCTGATTTGACGCAAGCAGCTTCTGCACATTCGCAGAAGAGAAGGGCATTTCCTCCATGATGAGCCATGACATTTTCCTATCCCCCGTTTAGATTTTTAGGGCTTCCAGAACTGGGCTGCAAAAATCCAGACGAGGGCTAGGTGATAGCAAAGAGATGCAGATGAGGCTCTTCTGCCCTTAGTGGTTATCCGGATTTTTGCAACCCTAGATCTCGTATCCCTGCATTGCACTTCAACCAGAACATGAACCCATTACATGTTTGTACTTGTTCATCCCCACCATGTCTGCTCAGTAATGCAGCCCTAACATAATATAGCTACAACGAATGTTCGTGCAGAGTACTTTGAACATTAAATACAAAGTTGCATCATTCACTTCTATATTAGACATAGGGTTTGAGAGGAGGATCAGCAGTAGGGCCGCCTGCTTCTTTTAGGTCCAGAATTGGAAAATGGCTTATGGTACAGAGATGTATATATGTTTTGCATGCTAATTTCTGAAATATATTGCAAACTCTTAATTGATACAAGGAGCTTTTCTTGAAGCAGGCCTAGTCATGAGACAACTGGGATATGTCAGTGCAAGTCATTTCATTTCCCATTTGACCTATAACATGATTTGGAGGGCTTGGATTAGATCTATCCCTGCCTGAATATCTTGAACAAGTTAGCCTGTTGATTAATTGTTAAAGCTGGTTATACACAATTTAAAGCTGCATTTGTGTTCAGTGGCTACATTGACTAATGATTTTTTTCTCCTTATAAATTTATCACGGTCATGACTGATTCTATATTTAGTAGTCCTGCCATGATTGTTATGGAAATTGATTAGAAATAGACAAATAGCTATTACTTCCAGATCAATGCTCTTAGTATTGACAGATTGCCTTTGAATCTACATTGAATATATAGTGAATCTGTGTAACATAGTCGCATGCCTGTAATAAATTTCTTCTTGATAGCAAGAAATTCTTCCATTTTAAAAAGCAGAAAGGAAGATATTATTTAACTATCTATGGCAAAAAAAAGAGATAAATTCAAAAAATATTACTGTTCTTTTGCTTGTAATAGACTGTCAAATGGTTAATTTAAATACTGTACTTGTTATGACTTACAAACTCACACAGGTCAAGGAAAATTGAAAATAAGACTGCATACTCAGCTGGATTGCTGGCTATTAGCTGAATAATACAATTTTGCTTGATGATATATGTTTTGTTATAGAACTTTTAATACAAAACTTTTACTGTACAGTCAGGACCAGAAATATTGGAACAAGGATAACTGTTTTGGCATTTGGCCTCTGCACACCACCACATTGAAGTTGAAAGGAAACAT